TTTGTGGCCAGTTGACTTTTGACAATGTGGGATTTTCCTGTTTTTCTGTAGGGCTGCAACTATTGAATATTTTCACATATTTTCAAATTCGAGCTTTTTGGGCAGGACCATCTTAACTCGTACAAACCATCTTTGATGTTTACTTATGTGTTATGTGTGTTTTACTTGTGAGTAGAGTTGCCCTGGCGTCATGCTTTAGTGTTATTAAATCGATACTGAAATTTTGACTTCAATACCAGCTTTGGTACCTCTGTATCGATACTGTGAAACATTCCTATTTAAATATCATGTTGTTTTGAAATGAACTGGCCTATTTATGCATTATACCAACAGCAATTACCTATATAAGTGTTTCCCAATCCGGTCCTCGGGGACCCACGGTCGGTCCATGTTTTTGCTCCCTCCAAGCTCCCTGCCAGACAATCCACTGGGAGCTGGGAGGGAGCAAAAAAATGTAACGTCCGTGGGTCCTCAGGGACCGAATTGGGAAACACTGGCCAATGCTGTAGTTTTAATACTATGAGTGAAATATGCATAGATTAAACAAACTGCATACATCGATTTTGTTATTTATCCTGTTACAAAACCTCGTCGACGCCTCACTGACGTTGGATTTATATAATGCTCTGTTTACCATTTAGCCTAGCCTCCTTTGCATCACTGGGGAACGATGGAACGGGGAACGATGGAACCCACATGTAGACTAAACACGACATTAAACAGAAACACAAATCGCAATAACGGATAGATCATGTCTCATGTCGGTTATCATGCACACCTGATGGGCTTTGAACTCCCTACAAAAATCAGGCTGAGCGATAGACAGAGGATTCAGCAGTTTAGACATATTTCTAAGGGAGATTTGCTTGCGTACTGAGGCCCAGAATGTTGTAGGGTCCATATCTTCCAGGTACGTCTCTGTTTGCAACACTAGTGTTCAGTATGTCCCGTCCCCCCCCCCCCCCCTTTGCTGCTCAGGTTGAGCTGTACAACTTCATGGCCAAGGATAACGTTCCATTCCACAGCGTGGTGTTCCCCTGCTCGCTGCTGGGTGCCCAGGACAACTACACGCTCGTCAACAACCTCATCGCCACAGGTAACCACGGAAACGCCCAACATGGGATGCAGGCACCGTAGGCTGTCCGAATGCGAATGTCGGGAGTTGCTTTGAGTCACTGGAACTCAGCCCACATGAGGACACATATATGGCGTGAGCACACAATCCACCCCACCCCCCGGCCCAACCAGTACGCCTGCCATGCTGTCCCCAGCATGGTTCACCAGTCACAGGGAGCCTCCTATTTGTCTTTGTTATGATGGGTTTAGTTTCTGGGGAAAGGTAAGGTAAACTGGTGGATAGAGGTCTGTGCCCATATCCAGAAGGTTGTTTGTTCAAATATCACGACCAGCAGAGCAATCATATCATCCTCAAACTGGGAGCTGACTTCTGTACCCCCAGCCCCGTGAGACACCCGTCACCCTGTACCTCTCCTCCCCCACTCAGAGTACCTGAACTACGAGGACACAAAGTTCTCTAAGAGTCGCGGAGTGGGCGTCTTCGGAGACATGGCGAAGGACACGGGCATCCCCGCCGACGTGTGGCGCTTCTACTTGCTCTACCTCAGGCCCGAGGGCCAGGACTCTGCGTTCTCCTGGAGCGACATGGCGCTGAAGAACAACTCGGAGCTGCTCAACAACCTAGGAAACTTTGTCAACAGGTCAGGCTGGGGGGGGCGCGTGCCGTTTCGCCGTCCAAAAACAGGGGCTAGAATTCTCTAGTTGATGCTTCATCCATTTCTGTTTTTTGCTTGGAGTGCAACCTGATCTTTGCTGATTCACTGAAGATGCAGCGGCGCTCGGACAAATGAACGACTCAATGTTTGCCCAAAAGATGAGCTCTGTGAGAAGCCCCGGTGCAGGCCTTCCTAACCTCAGGCTTAAACCCACCTACACAGGGCTGGGATGTTTGTCACCAAGTTCTTCGACGGCTGTGTCCCGGAGATGGTGCTGCAGCAGGAGGACCTGCGCCTGCTGGCTCAAGTGGGCTGGGAGCTGAGGCAGTACATCCAGCTCCTGGACAGGGTTAGGTGAGGATGCAGCCGCAAACTCGCTAAACCATCCCCGGCCTCGTTCACCGGTCAGGGAGGATGATACACAAAAAATTCATGGCTTGGTACAAACCTCATTTTTGGTTTCACAGTTTGGTGCAATTTTGGTATAGCAGGGAAACGATTTGTTTTGAAGTTAAAACTGCAAACATAATTGGGAACAGCTGTAAACGAAAGGCAATGTGTCTGAATAACAAAACCTAAGAGAGGCTTACTTACACGTGAAGATAAATATGTACAGGAAGTAAAAAAAAAAACATAACCGTCATAATGAACTAAATAATGTGTTTTTGGCTGCAGAGTATGGCTGCATTTCTGCATAGCCTTGGTTATTTTTTTATCCGGGACTGAATGCCACGGGGAGACTAACTTGCAGAGGTAGTTTCTGCATTGCCCCAGTCGTACACACACTGGCATGAAGTCGTCTCAAATGGGTTAGTATGTTTGCTTGTGTTTTCAGCAAAATATGGGAGTTTGGTATGACAGCGACGACAGATGGTCTACGTCTTATCAGCTACTTTCCCTCCACCGTTAGTGTAATTTACTGGGAAACCGAAATAAACTGCAGATTCCCTCTGACTGGACCCAGCATTAGCTGTAACCAGCTCACAGACAATTAGCATAATGTGTTTTATGTTGAACATCTGTTTTAGGTTTTGCCGTTAAGTTCCACCTGTGTCAAGAAATGTATTTGTTTCTCTGTGCTTTCCAAACCGAAAATTATGTAACTGAACGGCACATGACTACATGAACCGTTACGGCCGTAGGTTAATTCAGGATGTTCAGATTAAATCAGAGGTGTGAGATCCGAAGCCAATCCTGCTGACCGTCTTGTTTCTTCCAGGATACGAGACGCTCTGAAGTGCATCCTGAACATCTCCCGTCACGGCAACCAGTACATCCAGATGAACGAGCCTTGGAAGAAAATCAAAGGAGGGAGCCAAGACAGGTATGTGACGACCC